CATTTTAAGAATTTCTCATTAAGTGTGATGGTTACTAAGAAATCATAGCCAGTAATAAAGTAAATAAGTTGTTCATTCAAAAACCATTTGAAAAACAAAATTATAAAAATCAGTTTCAAATTTTTGTGAAAAGTCACTTGTATTATTGGATGTGGGAACACTCACATATATATGACATAATGTGGGGGAAGATATGGTGGTTTTTAAAGGCTCTGAATGTTCTTTAAATTTTTCTCCAAAGAACTAAAGATATTTTCAGAAACAACCTGCTGCAAACACCAAATAGTTTTCAGTTCTCAAATTCTCACATTTCTTAACACATAAAGTTTTAAGCGTTCATAAGAACTTTGTTTTCTATTTTGTTATAATCTATAGTTGTTTAATTCTATTTTTAATCAGCTATCATTGAGATAAAATCATATTCCAGGAAGAAGCGTTATACTTACCTTATGGGTTTGAGTGTCTATGGTACATTGCCCCTGGGAAGTGTGAGCTCTACAGTTTAGACTGAAAACTCTTGAGAGATGATGGCAGCAATTCTCTTCTCTTCATTATTTTTTTAAATACTTTATTTAATTATTTAATCCTCAACTGAGGATATTTGCCCATTGATTTTTAGAGAGAGTAGAAGAGAGAGGGAAAGACACAGGGAAATATAGATGTGAGAGAAACACATTCATTGATTGGCTGCTGTAGGAGCCCCAACCAGGGCCCTGGCCAGGATGGATTCACCCTTTCCTGGGGTTAGGGTTCATTAGAAGACCCTCTTTGACCTCTTTGGTCAGTATAGCTCAGTTGGTTGAGCATCATCCCATGTACCAAAAGGTTGCCCGTTTGATTCCTGGTCAGATAAAACCCATGGTATTGGTTTGATCTTTGGTATGGGTGCCAATAGGAGGCAATCAATAGATCTTTCTCTCTCACATCAATGTTTCCCTCTCCTTCTTGCTCTCTCTCTCTCTCTCTCTCTCTTCCCCTCTCTCTTCCTTTCTGTCTAAATAAATTAAACATATTTTTTAAAGTCTATCTTTTTGATCCATGGATGCTCTTACTGTTTTATTTCAATGAACTGGAGCTTCTATTCCTTCTCCATGGATGCTATATCTCCTTTTAGGGAGAACTTGGGTATATCTTAATGGTCTCTGTGTGCCAGGTCCTAGGAAAGTGCCTTGTACCCAGAGGAGCTTGTGTAATGTTTGTTATTCAATTAATTAAAAAATGAATTAGACTGTGAATGGATATTGCAATGCTATGACTGATAGAAAGGTAAGTACTCAGTGAGTCTTAAGGGATAGGAAAGAATGTTTGGGGCTGGAAGTTGTGTTCAGGAAACTTAAAATGATTTTCCAAAGGAATGGATTGGCAAGAAATGTGGGATTCATGAGGAAAATAAAAGATGCAATTTAGGTGACTGAGGATACCTGACTCATGATGCCCTATCCTTTTAGCTTAATTTGTCTTTTTATCCTAATTTGCCCCACCATACCTTTTGCCCTTGGCAGGAGCCTTTGTTAGTAGAGATGATGATGGGCTGGGTCCCCTGTTGCTGGTCTTCATGCTGGGTCTGGGGTTGACCCCACTGACCTTGGCTCAAATGAAAACAGGTACAGACTCTTCCTGGCCCCTCACT